GTACAATAAATTCTTTAACACTGTAGATATTATGGACATACCATAAATATTATATATGTAGATCTCTCCTTCTTGTCAAATATCCACTTAGGCCTAGTCAATTACTTTAGAATTTCAGTTAACAAGCCAAACTATCTTCTCCATTTCTATCGCACTCGTATTCTCGGTGATTCACTTACAATTGTGGCGCGGGTTACAGTAATTGTTTGGTCTTCATTCTTCTGAAGATCCTTTGCTCCTTTTGTCAAAGTGCACTCAGTCTGATTCCATAACATTAGAACCACACTTTGACAGAATAAAATTATTTTTCTTATCTTCTTTTCTACTGTTAGTTTCACTCTATCATATTAAATGTTAGGCCTATCACATCTACAGTTGTTAACTTCACACCAACTTTATTCTCTTTTGCTATTATCTGTCTGTCTGCTGCTTCCCTCTCATTTCACGCTATTTATATCTTTATTACCTAATAGTCTTTCTGCCTTCTATATTCTCAATGTCAGTATATTGCACATGGCATTCGATATTCTCCACATCGATGAATTATGAACAAAACTTCATAAAATAACCTGCTTTTAACTCATATTATAACAAAAACTAAACAATAATAAAATATTCACCCACAGAAATAAATTAATCAATAACATCTAAGCTAAACAGTCTTTTATATTATGACACTGTTCTTTTGCTTTGCACAATCTGAATTATTGTATTTTGGTGGTGGGTTTGACATAATGTAAATTTTGAAACTACTGAACACATGGTTTGTTTAATCAACATTACTGTTGCATCAAGCAACAGAGTAATCACGACTTTTAAAAGTAACCTATTGTCAGAGTTCTCACTCTACATTCTACCTATAGATAGACAACGTTAGCTCCAATTTGCAAATTTGTGCCTTTGACTAAAAGTCTAGCCAATAGTACCTAGCAAAGGTAAACTTTCTAAACCCAGTTATGACACAAGTGATGAATGCCTGTGTGTGTATATCTATATTACTTTAAACCAGTTACAGTGGGCTCAGAAAAAGCACACACACAAAGAAAAACAAAGACTCAGAGCCAGAGCTCCCCAATGGCTGGACACAGGTGTACTTATGTCCCTTACACACCCATTGATGGTGATAGTACTAAAATAACCCATATTAGATTTTGATTTAAATTTGCTCCATACTGCTTATCACATAATGCATTCAAGATAGCAGGCAATGTCAAACTTGTGATGGAATAGGATGTAATGATTAGATGAAGAAGGTAAACTTTGGAAACTACAGGAAAATCAGACAATGTAGAAGTAATATGAAGCTAGGTGATGTACGATTCACTGTTCAATGACACCAAGAACGATGTGTTCATTCCCATAACAGGTAAAGTCAGGGAAATAATTCCTGGATATAAAGACTGATGGAAACAGCTACTGACAATACGAGCCTTTTGTGGGTGAAGCAGTGCATATAATATACTTCGTGTTACATATTTTCCCCAAAATTGTGCACTTTTGAACTTTCAGAAGACTAAATCTTCCAAGGAGGATGGAGTTGAAACCTGCAAACATTATACTCTCAATGTGTACAAAACTCCCTGTAAAATCAAACTGAATACTCCAAACATTATACTCTCAATGTGTACAAAACTCCCTGTAAAATCAAACTGAATACTCCAAACATTTATACTCTCAATGTGTACAAAAACTCCCTGTAAAATCAAACTGAATACTCCAAACATTATACTCTCAATGTGTACAAAACTCCCTGTAAAATCAAACTGAATACTCATAAAAAAAAACAACAACCAAAGCAGGTCATGGTGTTTTTTTCTACCTATTATCTTAAATAATAACTTCCAAAAAAATGACTTTCAATAAGACGTGTTACAAGATGTTTTTCTGCTATTCTTTTCAACGGTATACACGTTCAAGACTACCTACTGTCATTAAAATCACATTTATATTTCATTTCATTATTTAGTGATGAAGGGTCCACTTGTAGTCTCATCAACACCAGTGTTTTGCAAGATTTTATAATAAACTAAACATTATTTCAATACATATCACACTACTATCAGTCAATTTGGTCCTCCAAAAACTGTGGCTTTAATTTTTTACATGTCTTGCACTTTTAATCAATGATATTAACACAATCCAAAAACTAAATTTCAACTACTGAGTAATATATTACTTGAATATTATTTCATCCTTTCTCAAATGTACTCACTTACTAATCAAACATGTACATTTGGATGTAAATAAATTATATTTTTTATAAGATTTGGCTTGTTGAGCCTCCCCACGACCTGTACGTGGAAAATTAATACCATAAAATCAAATACTAATACTGGTACTACTAATAGTTAATAATCATACCCTTCTTTTTATAAGTTTGTCATTATTTCAAAAATCAATGAGTTTATAACTTATACAATTTTCTTCATATCAAACTTAGTATGCAGCATCCATGTTGGTTAATCATGGTGTTATTAATGATTTATAAATAATTTCAAATTAACTTTTATAAAATCTCTTCTTAAGAAGTATACCAAATTACAATAGCACCATATTAGTTTTTGAGGTTTGAAGAACTTTCTGAAAAACTGAGCCTTAACAGCACACCAATTTTTATTTACTTTTTCCAAAGAAAAATATTTCAACAAATGTTGATATTTTACAAATACTAATACTGTAGTTATACTTTTTAAAGTTTCAAAGTTACGAGATTTTAACAGTAATGATAAAAATATTTTATAATAGGTTTTAGATTAAAATATCTTTTGATTCTCTGGTCTGATATAGTACAAGAATCAAAAGGTTTCATTAATTGATACTTATGATGTTGTAAAGCTTATTTTTGCTATTGTAAACCAATTTAAAAGAGCAACCTAAGTATGCAGACAGCAACATACAAAGATGTGCTATTAAAAAATGTACAGTTACAATGTGAAAAATATATATACACCTGGAAAAAAGTTAAGCACCCCCGTGTTTTTTTCAAGTGGTTCAGATTCGACGTTCTTGTGACTGATTATAAATTACCATTCAATCTAAACGTGTTTATCAAATGAAATTATGCATTATTGGGCACAAGAAAACAAGATTATCACCGTAAAATAACAATTTTAATTTACATATCATGACATCAAAATATG